ATGTTTTGTACTTAATTTCACTGTCATTTCTAACTCATGATGATGGCATCACTCTTCTAGGTCCAATGTAACTAAATTTATGTCCCTCAGAATGAGGTCAATGTTGAGCATTTGTCAAGGCCTGCTGAGTTAACACAAATTTTGTGTCAAACATGGTGATATTAGGATTTTAAGGAAATACTTTTTATGTTTGTGAAATCTTTACGACTCAGATGTCCTCGCCTCTTTTTTTCAAATCAATGTACTCTCTGCCATCCCTGACATCTTTCCTGAGTGTATTGGTGGAGCCAGACTGGTTTATCATTTCCAGATAAACTTTTCATGCTTTCTGTGACTAAGTGGTGACCTGGAAGGCTCTTACTGAATTTTCATTTTTAGGAGATTTTTCACCCTAAAGCAAATTCTAACTTTGCAAGCCTGTTTTGTAATCTTTAAAGTGGGAATAAAAGAACACATATGTAAAGTCAAAAAGCATTGCTTCTAGGGTTCCAGTTCATTCTCGTACAGGTTTGTTCTAAATAAAAACGGTTGTGGATGGATCCCTGCAGACAAGTTCTCACGGTAGTACCCTTGTCTTAGTGTTCTTAGAATACCTTGAAAAAATGGCACCATCAGGTTTTCAAAGCAAGATTAAAGCTAATGAACATTTTACGGAATGAACCCTAACTGGGGACAGACCAATATGACCTAGAGAGCAAGACCCAATCAAAACAGTGTTCCCGGGGATCTGCTGGGCCAGAGAAATTCAAGGGCAGGAGGCCATCTCGGTAAGTTATGCTGTTGTTTGGTACCAGTGAGTTGAGTCTGACTCATAGCAACTTTATGTCCAACAGAAGAAAATACTGTCTGGTCCTGCACCAGCCTTAGGATTGTTACGTTTGAGCCCATTGTTGGTGCCACTGCGTCAATCCCAGATTTCCGGACTGCTGCTTTTTTTTGAACAATGATTGTGAATCCAAGTAAAATAAAATCTTTGACAACATCAATCTTTTCTGTGACTGTTAAGGATCCCAAAGGGGTGATCTTGATTTTCTACAAGGGCACAGGACAATCATGAAGTCTTATTATGAAGAAGTTTTACGAAAATTAGGGACTGCATGGGTGAGAAAAAGGGCAGGACAGTTGCGCAGAAGAAATGATTTTGTTCAAGACAATGCACTTGCTCATTCATGCAGGGTAGCAAAGGCTGATGTTTCTTCTTCAGACTTCTCTTTTTGCTCCCCAAGTCCAAAGACCATGGCAAAGCGACATGAGGGTGCCGGAAGTGTTGTTTTAGTGTGGTTTAAAAGGAGGAGCAGAGCATTCTTTGCGGAAGGATTAGAGAGATGGGAAGACCCTCTTCACAAGTGTATAGACCTAGATGTCAAGAGCCAATATCTTCAAATTTTGATATTTTTGTTTAATAAATGTTTCTATAATTTGGAGCAATACCTTCTTAAAAATTTTTTTGGGGGAGTAGTAGATTAAGGCTTATAGAGATCATCAGTTTCACATTTAACAATTCAAACACAGTTTCAACTCATCTACTGCAATCCCCTCAATGTACCATTGTGTATAATCCCAGTTCCTCCCTGTTCCCATTCATCCTTTTCTAACCCTCTGAACTGTCCTTGGGGAAATGTTGCCCTTTAGATTTTTCAACGCCTGCTTATTCTCACAGGGGTGCATTGTTTTGTAGCAATAGTTTTCAGTTTTGTAGCAATAGTTTTTGGCTACACTCAGATAATTGTCCTCAATAAATGAGATCATCATGTAAAGTATTATCACGTGTTTTCAAAATTCAAGTTCTGTCCTGTCTCTGTCCTGTGCAGCCTTATGTAAATTCCCTGATGACCTGGCTCTGATTTCCGCCTCTGTGAACTGTAAGGAAGGAAGAATTGTGCCATGCTTCTGTCCAGTTGAAGTATGATGGTCCCATCTGGAAGATGTATACCTTCAGGGGACATGGGGCACCTATCATTTACTAAAATCAGGAGCTGTTAAATTCTTGCAACATATGCATACGAAGCAACCTTTAGACAGTTCTCTATAGTTTTCTTGTGATGAAACGCAGTTATTTTCATTTGCATTAAAGTAAGCTTTAGTGTGTGTATTTGTAAAGGTTTGGCTTCAATTGTATGGGGCACATTATGTTCTCATTTGAGGACCACTTCTGGCTGGTACCCACTATGGAGCTGCTGATAACAAAGGTAACCCCTTTCATCTTCTTGGTAGGTACTCATGTATTTAGAAGTCACATCTCTGTTATTTGTGGAGTATAATAGGGCAAACATTTTCTGCCTTTTGTCAGACACCTAAGTCTATATTTCAACTTTAGGGATAATATCTGTCATAGGTTTCCGAGTGAGCTGTAAAGGGACAACTGGATGGAATTGTTTGTATTCCTATGAAAGAAAACCCATGCCGTCATTTCTCTGAACTCTTGTAATGGGTACCATGCTGCTCACACCAGAATTAAGAGTTCTAGACAATGACCAGCGCTTGAATGTCTTTTGGAAGCTTTTACTTTTATGACCTTGTTACCAAAGGAAATACGAGGGGGCTTCAAAAGCGTATGGAAAAGTTCCATTATCTGTTAATTTTTTCCCTGGTTAATCTTAAAAATTCTTCTTGCTCCTTTTACACATAAATTTGATAAAATAGTAGCAGAACCCAGTTTCACAGGAATGTTTCATATTTTCAAATTATTAAGTACTAAACTATAGCTTGTATTTCTTCTCAGTTGGTGGCATAACCTTGATCCACTAAGCCCTAAAGCTGTGATTTTTTTAATGACTCCTACTACTTTCTCAGTCCATCACAATCTCACTTTGCAGCTCTCTCCATATTACTGATCCTGTCTCTTCCTCCCCATTCTTGTAATCATTGCTCTAAGGCATTCTTTTTGTTTCAGTGGCCTATGAAGTGGATTTTCTGCCTCTAGTTTTGTCTCTCTTGAATGCATTCCACATGGAAAACAAATCCTTCCTTTCAGTTGCTCTTAATTTCAACTTCTTTGAATAAAATGGGTCCCTTTTATATCCTTTTTTATTCAAGTACATAGGGTGATAGATCCCTTTCCCCACGTTTTAGCCTGGAAAAATGAAAACATTAATATTTCCTGCTCTCCCCGCACCCCCTACCAATACACAAGGAAGTTTATCCCCCTTCTTTTCTGCTCTAATCTTGCCACTATTTGCCTCAAGTGTGTTTCCCTTAAGAAACAGTTTAGTCTTTCATGGGAAAATTTCAAACTTTTACTCCCCTTAATAGTGTGTGCTGAGTTACCAAATATAAAAGCCTAAAGATGCTTGTTTATCTATACCAAACCAACTGCTTTCTAGTCAATTCCAACTCATAGTAACCCTACATGTGTCAAGAAACTGTGCTCCACAGGGTTTTCAACTGTTGAGCTTTTGGAAATATATCACCAGGTCTTTCTTCCAAGGTGCCACTGGGTAGTTTCGAACTTCCAAGCTCCCTAATTAGCTGCCAACTGCTTAATCATCTGCAGTCAGCCAGTACCCTATCGGTATCAAGATATTGCTAATTGATATAAACACTAGGCACATGACAATATAGAACATATATTAATCCATTGAGTGTGAACAGTCTTGTGAGGAAAGCACCCATATAATCTGCATTTTACACAGAGAAAAATTGAGGCACAGAGGTAGAGCTGTGACAAGGTCCATTCAGTGAGTCAATTTTGCCCAATTCTGCTCTAAATCACCAAATCTAACCTCTCTTGCTGTGGAGGTTATTACAATAAATAGAAATTACAGCTGCACTGTACATTCCAAAAGGCAAGAACATTTGCTTTGTTCCGGGCACTCATGGAGTGTGCTGAGTGAACACAAAAAACGAACCCAATGTGGTTAGAAGTCTAGCGTGTCAATTAGGGGAATTTATTTGGCCCTGTCCACCTCTCCAACCTGAAATCTATTATTTCCCAAGAGGTCCCTAATTACCCATGGTTCTCTTTCCTGCAATGGATTGCTCTGGACTTTCTTTATTCATCCTTTGACAAATCTGGCTAAGTTCAACACCAGTTCGGGACTGCATTTCCTGGCCAGCGAGATTTTTCACACGCTCAGCGGAGTACTGCATTTTATTTAACCCTTTCCCCCTTTCGGATTCTTTGAGGACTAGTTGCTCAGTCTTATCCGTCTATCTTCTTCCCCCTCCTCAGTTTTGCCAGGTGGTCACGCAGAGCCTCGGCAAACGTTTGTTCAAGGCTCCCCGCTTTAAAAAGTCGAGCGTCTAGGGCCGGTGAGCCCGAGGATGGCTGGATTAGAGACCTAGCCAAGCCCGCAGCATCTCAGGCCTGCGGCGTCCCTTCCCCCAACCTGTGGCATCCCCGCATTCATCCTCCCTTTCCCAGGCGACGTTCTCCTCTTCGCTTCGGGCGCAGACACCAAATTCTCAAGGTTAAGGCTTTTGCATCCTGGACACGAAAGGTCTCCGTGAGGGGCGAACACACTGGCCCGACATGTTCATCTGAGTCGCTCGTTCTCCCGATCAACCCGAAGGCGAACCTCCGTTCGGATGCGCTCTTAGAGCCGCTCCGCGGCCTTGAGCCCCGGAGGAGGGGGCAGCGGTCACGCGAGCCGCACCCATCGACGCCCTCGCCCCCGACCGTGGCCGGGTCTGCGTCCCCGGCTTTCGCCGCGCAGCTGGGCCGCCGCGCAGGCGCCTCACAGTGACCGAGCTGGCGCCTCACCTCGCGCAGGGATTCGCCCCACGCGTGCTCCCCTCCCCCACTCACCACTTCCCTGTCTTCGCTAGTCAGGTCCTGGTCCACCCGCCCAATTTTCCTCCTGCAACCGGGGAGACACGGCAGGGGGCTGAGGCAAGCTTTCCCAGGCGGGGGCCGACTGTGTGACCTCTCTCTTCGCAGCGAACTCCCCTCCTCCAGAGGGACTACTTTCTCCCCCTCCCGCGGAGGAGTCGGACGCTGCAGGCGCGCATAGCATGGCGGCGGCGGCAGCGGCGGCGCGCCTGAGGTAAAGGGACGCCGGCCCGGTCAGGCCTCGACGGGGCCTACACGCTTCGTTCGCTCGCGCCTCCCGCCCCGCGCGCAGCCATGGCGGAGCCCTCTCCCGCCCGACGCCCGGTGCCCCTTATCGAGTCAGGTAAGATGCAGGCCGAGCTGCCGGCTTCCTTTCCCGCGGCCATCCCCGGCCTCGGCTGGTCCGGCCGTCCCGACTCCCCGGCGCCGCCCCCTCCCTTCCCCACCCCCCCGCCCTGGTCTTGACCCGGCTCCCCCGTCTTTCCACAGAGCTGTATTTTCTCATCGCCCGGTACCTATCGGCGGGCCCGTGTCGGAGAGCGGCCCAGGTGAGTGCGGGCCTCGGGGTCGCCGGCGGCGGCTCGGTCCCGCCGCCGGGGTTCGCGGGTGGAGGGCGTTGGATGGAGTGGGTGCGCGGTCCTGGCCCCCCTCTAACTACGCGTCTCCTCGGCTGCAGGTGCTGGTGCAGGAGCTGGAGCAGTATCAGGTCTGTGCTTCTCCGTGCTCTCCGTCCTCCGCGCGTCCGCCCGCCCGCCCTGCCGCTGCCGCGTCCCCTCCTCCCGACCTTGCCCCCAGAGTGGTGCTCGCCGGCGCCCCCCGCCCCCCCGAGTGCTCCCCCCCGCCAGCTGTAGTCACTCGTGCGCATTTCGTGTCTTTCCAGTTGTTGCCGAAGAGGTTGGATTGGGAGGGCAATGAGCACAACCGGAGCTACGAGGAATTGGTGAGACTTTTCTTTTTTGACATTTTCCATCTCCGTGTTGTCAGTGCGGCCACCCCGCCCCCCTCGTGGACCCCGGCGCTGGGCGAGAGTCGTGTTTACATTGCTTTCGGAGGCGCGGGTGGGGCGGCGGCGGCGGCGGCATTGGGACAGCGCGACTGCTCCCCCCCATCAGATTTTGTTTGTCTGTGTATGGGGATGGTATGTGTTGGAAGGAAGCCGTCCTGGGGGGCGGCGAGAGGCCGATTCCGCGGATGTCTCACTGCGGGGGTGGATCTCCAGGTGCTGCTGCGTGTGGCGTGTGCTCGTGGGGTGTGCGCGTGCGCGCGAGACACAGCCAGTCACTGGGGTGGTTCAGCCTGTTTTTCTTTTTTCTTTTTTTTTAAAGCAGACGTGTAACTCTACCTCTGATTGGTCCCTTCTCGTTTTATCCCGCCCACGTCTTCCGATCGCTCGTTCCCTAGGAATAAAATCATAGCTATCTGAAGGTGAAGAGGTGTTTCTCTTTAGCACCCCCTCGTTCCCTAGGAATAAAATCATAGCTATCTGAAGGTGAAGAGGTGTTTCTCTTTAGCACCCCCACCCGCGTCCTCATTCGACTGTATAATAAAAATACTGTTGCTTGGAGATTATGCCACTCGTTCAATAACTTTTGCTGCAACAAGCTGTTACGTTTGTTGCATGCTTTAAAAGTTGTACTAATTTGATGAGCTTTGGTCTTGCTGAACATACCATTTACGAAGCTTACTTGTCTAGAGGATGTCCTTTATTTTTGAGGGTGTTCTTTAAAAAAAGGAAATAAAACAGCTTAAATGTAAGGAGCCCCAGTGCCACAGGGGGTGTTACGTTGCTAATGCTAAAATAGGAGTTTTAAATCTCTCACGGAATTGTAAAGATTTGCTGGCACAGAAACCTTGAGCAGTTCTGCTCTAGCCTGTAGGGCAATGGTTTTCAACCTTCCTAATGCCGCGACCCTTTAATACGGTTCCTTGTGTAGTGACCCCCACCCATAAAATTTCCGTTGCTACTTCATAACGAATTTTGCTACTGTTATGAATCGTATTGTAAATATCTGATATGCAGGATGTATTTTCATTGTTACAAATTGAACATAAAGCATAATGATTCATCACAAAAACAATATTTAATTATATATTGTGAAATATTCTAATTGTCTTTTTTTTTTCTTTTTTAACATTTTATTAGGGGCTCATACAACTGTTATCCCAATCCATACACACATCAATTGTGTAAAGCGCATTTGTACATCGTTTCTCAAAACATTTTCTCTCCATTTAAACCCCCGACATTAGGTCCTCTCTAATTGTCTTGAAGCATGGGGTAGCACGGGCAAGTAACAGTCTTCACGCTGGGTATTCCTATGTGGGCCTATCTGCATGTGGGCGGACCCACCTGGAGACGGATAGAAGAGCTGTGTCTTGGTATCTGAGACCATCGGAAAACATGTTTTCCGATGGTCTTAGGTGATCCCTGTGAAAGGGTCGTTTGACTCTCAAAAGAGGTCACGACGCATGAGTTGAGAACCGAAGCTGTAGGGCCTCTGAGTTGCTGTCCATCCAGGTGGCAATGGGTTTGTTTTTGCTTTTATCGTAATGTGGATTCCAGTGCAGGTTTTTTTCTTGTACTCTTTATGTGGTTACTTGCCCTTATATAATTTTTTTTTACAGTCACAACAATGTCAGGGATTTCTTTGCCCTTTATAGAATAGAACATTTTGCAGGAAAATATTGGCTTCTTGTTTTACCCCCTCCCCCTCTCCCTCCCTCATGAACCCGAAAAATAGCATTTTTCAAAGGACTGAATTCTGGTTTCTGCATGATGGCAAAATTAGTCTTGAGTTTGACCATTTGACACGGTTTTAAATAAAAAAAAACCCTAAAGGACTACTCTGTGTTTTCATTTACTCTGGTTAGTAATAGTAAATAATAGAGACGCAGAAGAACTTTACCGTAACCTGACATGCTCCTGAAGAGAAAATCCCATAGATTTTGAAACAAGTATGGTTTTTTAACTACTGAAAAGTTACCTTCAGTTCTTTGCTTTTTTGGGGGGTGGGGTGGGGGTGGGCAGGGGTCTGGGCTGTTTTGCTTGAATTGATTTAAAGGTCTACTTAAAATATTCTCTTTAAAAGTACTCAAATTCAAAGCATCTGTATGATCTGATAGTGACATATCACCAAGAATAGAAAGGAGTCTCAAGATGCCACCTAAGTGATTATCAACAAATGTTGTGTCTGTGCATCTGTCTCCCAGCCTAGATGGTTTTTTAAGCAAAATTCAGACTTTGAATTATTGGTTTAATATATTGAAATATTTTAAAGCAAATCTTAGACTTGACATTGCATCCCAAATTCTTAAGAATACCTCCCTAAAAAGTAAAACCCATTTCTAGTACTATAAAGGTACTAGCCCAGTTCATAATTTGTTGGTACAGTTGTTTGTGTGTGTGTGTGTTTATATGTGTATACAAGGGGTAACCCCCCCCCCAAAAAAAAAAACCCAACCAAATGGGTTTATAGTAACGCATCTTTTTCTGCTAGGTGAGCATTGAGCAACTCTGTACTGAGTTAGTGCACTCAGTGGTGTTGCCTGGGAAGGTTCTCTGGTCACAGCGAATTTTTTTTGTAAAAGTAATTTCCCTTGAACCTCATTTTTTGTGGTGGCTTATTTAAGAGAAGTGTGAAGCTGTGACATTTTGTTCCCTCCCTTGGGAACAATGCACCAGAAACTGTTGTGATGTTGAACACAACATACAAGTTGAACACAACTTACAATACAGCATATTAAACTAACTTACAAGAAAGTGCTATGGGAAAAACTTAAGTGTAGGAGTGGTTTTCTTGTTTCAAAAAAGGAGAAATGTTGATTAATGACAAACCTCGATCTGCACATCCATCAACTTCCTAAAAGGACGAAAACGTTGACTTGTAGTGCATTCTAGCTTTCTAGTTAGAGGTTCTGAAAAGATTGTGTAACAGTGTGCGACAAAAGCCTGATTTGTGGCAGATGGGGACTGGTTTTGCCATCATGACAGTGCACCTTCTCATGTAGCCATCTGTGTGCCAGTTTTTGGCAAAAAACATCATGACTCTCTTGCCCCATGCACCTGACTCACCTGGCCTCACTCTTTGTGAAATTTTGTTTCCATGAATGAAGAGGGACATGATAGGACAGCGAGTTGACGTCTTAGAACAGGTGAAGAAAAAAACCCAACAAAATGGGGGAGGTGCTGTCAGCCATCCAATCAGATGAGTTTGAAAAATTGTTTCCTAGAATGGAATCGCAGATTTGACCAATGTATTAAGTGTAAGAGAGAGTACTTTGAAGGTGATAGGTTGTTATGTACAAAAATTTGAGTACATAGCTTTGTTGGGGATTCTGGGTTTTGGCGGGGCACCTCCTTATATATACACGTGTATACTACTGGTGTGCCTTCTTTTGCTTCGCTTCTGCTTCATGCTGCAGAAACTGTTGTGATGTTGGGCTTTTAACAAACAGGATTTGTGGCAACTTGTCAAGTAAATCTGTTGGCGACATTTTTCTAATAGCATGTGTCACATTTTGATAATTTCTGTAATATTTCAAACTTTCTCTTAATGCTGTTGTACATTTAATAGACTGTTGTAGTCATTAAAACGGATGTAAATCATATCCATTGGGAAACAGAAAAAAGGTAATACTTTATTGAGACTTTTACCTTGTGTTCTGGAACCCAACCCCAAATATTTTCCAGGTATACCTGTATGTGTGTATATGTGTATCTCCAGTCCAGATTCAGAATTCCATTTTGTTTCCCAGTTGTCTTTTAATTTGAATCGGGCTTCAAACATAAAAATCTATAGTGACATTGTGCATTTTAAATATCTTTATCCTCAACTGGTCTTTTGGAACGACTGACTTAATAGACGGAAATATGTCCTTTGAAGGTTTCACGTTCTGAATTTTTTAGTGTTCTTTTTTAAATTAGCGTTCTTAATACTAAAATTTCCTTATTCAGTGGTTCTCATCTTTGAATTAGAGTCAGCTGGGGAGTATTTTAAAATTTAAATGCCCAAGCCTTACTCTAAACCCAACGCACTGCTTGTTAAATGCAATTCCGACTTAAAGTAATGCTATTGGATAGTGTAGAACTCCATAGAGTGTATGGGAGAAGATAGTCTTAGCTTTCTCCTGAGGAGGAGCCGGTGGGTTTGAACCATCAATCTTGGGGTTATCAGCCCAATGCTTAACCCATCATGTCACCCGGGCTCATTAAGCCCAGCTATAGACTAGTTAAATCAGAATCTGATATCAGGGTTTTAAAAACTACTTGTCAGGAGATTTTAATATCGTTGATTGCTTTAGAGCTTACTGCTGCTGTTAAACCTGTGCTCTGTAGAGTATGTTTGTACTTTGAAAGATGACTTACCCTTTACAGAAACTCACAGTCCCCTAAGGTTCCTGTCTAATCTTTCAAGTTACTGTTGTCAATTGATTCCCATTTATATACATCTGGAGAGCACAGTGCTCATGGCAGGCTTTCTTTACTAGTTAAGTATTGATTTTAAAACTTAAGAGGATATTTTTGGTTTAAAGCTTAAACATTAACTCGGGTTCATTAAGGGTCTAGGAAGTCAGGAGTCGAGAATTTGAAATTCTGTTCTGCATTTTTTTTTCCCCGTTCTGTATTTCTTCTGTAGAATTTTTGATCAAAATATTCAGTGTCATTGTGATTTTATTTGCATTTCCTTAATGGTTAATGAAATTGAGCATATTTTCCTGTAGTTGTATGTCTTCTGTGAGGAAATAATTTTTTCCCCCTTTTGTAGGTTGTCTCTTAGTTGATAATTTTGAACAAATATTTAAAAGTTTGATGAAGTCTAATATATCTTTTATTTTTCTGGTTATGCTTTTGGTTCTTATCTAAGCATACTGTCATAAACTAGCTTCCAAAGCATTTTACATTTTGTTCTAAGAGTTCCCACATTTAGATCATTGATCAAT